TTGGGGTTACACAAATGGCGGTTCAATCATCACACACTGCATTTTCTTTTCTCTCACCTCTTCGGTCTCACTCAATCGTCCCGGAGACCAGTTTGCTTAGCTTCAAGCCTTCTCTCCTCGGATATCCCTTCACAGCAACCAATCGTCGCCGACCGTTCATTATCACAGTCTCTTCCAGTAAGTTGTTTCGCTTCCTCTATCTTCTTTGCGAAATTCAATGTTTTTGTTGTTAATCTAACAGAAAATATACTGTCAGAATCCAAAAATGAACTCTCAGTTGATCAGAAAAGGCAGTTACTTGAACAATACGGGCTAAATCCGGATGAGTTCTTATCTGAACCATCTCCAAAGGTACGTCGTTCTCTCTTTTACCCTCTATGAAAAAAAAAATATTTATTTCATTTAAAAATAAAATAAAATGGGGACTGATAATGTAGATGTTTCTTACAGATGACCTTAACTAGATTGAAGAAATTGAGTTATATTGATAATTGATATTAACAGTGGTGTTTTCATTGGAGTTATAGACAAAGAAGAGAAGAGAACAATCCAAGAGCGGAACCGGAAAACAGGTCCTAGTAGAAGAACCTAAGCCTCCACGGGAGACACATAAATTGCTTCAGGTTTGCATTTCAATGACATGTTAACTGAATCTGTGGCTGCTAATGGAGAATTCCCTTCTTTTTTTTCACTGCTATGATCCATTTGTTGATAATTCAAGCATATTAAGATTCCACTGTGAACTGATACTTAATCCAAGTATTGTATGGACTTGATACCATAAAATTTTGCATGTCTACACCTACCAAACTAGGTAGGCTAGTCATATAGCTTACTAAGCAAAAGTTCGTAATTCATTTTCCAAGTACACATGTCATGTGATGATGCAATTGTTGTCAGACAAGCAAGCAGTTGTGATATCTTTGCTATTACAAGTACTTTTTTGTTCAGGTTGTTGGGGGGACGGCTCGGAGGAAGAAATTGCTCTCACCAAAGAGCATGGATGTGCGTCCCATGATGGAAGTTGTAAAAGCTGCTGCATTTGGTATTTTGCAAGTGAGATTCTTATTAGCCATTAAGAGCAGTTCGTCTTTCATGTAATGCAAGATACACTGTTTTAATGTTGTTAAATAAAAATTGTTTTCTGCTGTCTAGGCAGCCGGTGGTTGCCCTGCATCTTTGAGGCCTGGCCGTTGGTTGGACCTATATAGTGGGACAGGATCAGTTGGTATAGAAGCCATCAGCCGAGGGTGTTCTGAGGTTAGCATTAAATTTGTAACAGCCCTTTCTGGAACATATGCTAAATTTTTTTTACTTATTGCTTAGTGATACTTTTATTGTCTCTGTATGATTTTAATTTTTAAGTTAGCTGTTGATATGTGGAGCTTTATATTTTTCAGTTTTTCTTTGTCATTTTGCTCTCATAGCATTTGTGTTTCATGTTTCTGTTTGCAAACTCCTAGGTGCATTTTGTTGAGATGGACCCTTGGGTTGTCTCAGATGTTCTCCGGCCTAATTTAGAATGGACTGGTTTCCTTGATGCGTCTGTCATACATACTGTCCGTGTTGAAAGCTTCTTGGAGCGTGCAGAACATTTTCTTGGTAAGAGTTTCTCTTCCTGATGTTGCCCCACAAGCGAAGTAAGTTAGGGAGTTAATAGTATCATGAATCAGTAATTCTGATTTAACGCCCAATAGGAGATATCTCTCTCTCTTAAAAGGTTCATTAAATATTTTATCTGATGTTTTCTTTTACAATTCTGTACAAAAATAAAAGGTTATTACTCACTCCGAGATGTATAAAAAACAAGGTTCATTACTTGCCCTGGAAATATAAAAAAACAAGTTTTGTTTGCCAAGGAAACAGAAAATGAAATGCCTTGAACATTTTTACTGAAGTAAAATTCTTAAAAACCATAGGCTATCCTGATACCTTTATATCACTTGTGGTATCTCTTTTCTCAAACTGATACCTTTTTCACTATCATTGCACAAGTCAATCAAGGTGCAGGTTGGAGGTAAGCCTTTCTTTCTTGATGCCTAATATGGTGCTGACAGTAGACTGCCTCTAACTGTTAACATTAATGAGGTTCCTTATCCCATTGATGAAACATATTTCGAAGGCATGCTGTTTTGCAAATATGGACTGCCTTATAGATTTAGATCTTTTAAGTCAAACAATTGGCAAAGGTAGTTGTGATCTGCATACTGCAATAGTCATTTGTCAGTAACGTTGCACATGGAGGTATCTAAATGAAACTTAACCAGACATCTAACATTTATCACCTGCAGTTGGTATTGGTAATTTCCTGGTAGAAGAGAGTGATAAGAGAGGTTTAGATTTGGGGATGGGTTATTACAGATATGGTTGGTGCTAACTTATAACATGCTTGGCGCCAGACCAGCTCAACCGACTTTCTGGAGGTTCCCTAGATATTGTTGTTGATTGTGGCAAGTCAATCCTTTATATCTAACTTCACCAATCCTGTACTTCTGGAAAATTTGCAAGCCGTATAGTTTCTCTTCTCTTTCTTCACTTGCGTGATTTCTTTTGCTATTTTGTTTGGCAGTCTTGAAGAACTAAACAGATAGTTACAACTTTGAGGGATGATGTGTTCCAAAAACAAAGATCTAACCATGAAACTTGTTTGCTGCTCTTTTACTGAAATATAACAATCTAGGATTTATATTTATTTTTTTCAGGTGAAGATGGGAGCTTTGATTATATTAGTGTTACACCACCATATGCTGTTGTTGATTACTGTATATTAATGGATCAAATTTCAAAATCATCAATAGTGGGAGAGAATACATTTATAGTAAGTGCTTCAGTATATTGTGCTTTGTAAGTCCATTGTGTTCCTTTCTGCCCATAAATTTCTTTTGTGGTAATTGTCAGCATATTTTTGTGTATTCAGCTGGTGGAGTACCCTTTCAGAACTGACATGCTGGATTCGTGCAGTTGCCTTGTTAAGGTATTGAGCAATTCATTTTCTCAGTATTAAGAACAGCACTATCCCCTTCTGATGCTCGAGTGCATGTGCTAGGACATTTTATTTTTGGATGTCATCATTTGAAATATTGTTGATTGCTTTCTCCATTCTGTCTTTAGTAGATGTGTTTGGGTGGTGTTTTCTCTTCAACAGAAACTAAAATGTTTTGAAGAGCTAGCTGGATGTATGGTTCAATCATACATCTACACAAGAACTAATTCTCTCGTTATTGTTACTAAAAATACAGATATCTGATCGGCGGTTTGGTCGAACGCATTTGGCAATATATGGACCAAAGTGGGCACTGAAGAAGAAATATGTAGAGAAGACAAAGAGAAAGCAGGAAAAGCTGGATTTGCTTAGGGAAGTGGAGATTTCGGCATCCTAAATTTAGCTAATGAGGATCGCACAACACATCTTATAGTCAAGAGAGGGTGTAAAATGTTGTCAGACAGTTGATTGCCCCAGTTCTCACCATTTAGTTACATGGTAATTTTGCTTTAGCGCGCTCCTTTGTCCTGATATATCATTTAATAGTCTCACCTGGAATATCTTATGATTAATCTGATGGATCTTTAACCTGCAGGTCAATTTCTTCTTGGGGGAATTCTGCATCACCTAGCTCCCCAATTTGTATTCCGTACTTGACTCAGTCATAATGCACATCCATCCGTAAGAAGGCATCACTGAATTTTCTGCAGGATTTTGCTAGTAAATGTAGATATATATTAGTCTTACCTATTTTACACCTAATGGATTTCTAAGGTGACATTTATATGCCATACCTTGCTTATCCTTGCCTTGGTTGACATGCCTTACATTATTATGCTAATGGAGAATGCCGAAGAAATTTTATTTTCAAAGTGTTGATCTGATCCCCATGAATTTCGTCCAGCATTCTCTTTTCAACATCAAATCGAAGTTGTATATGGAAAAATTGGTGTATTTTTCGAATTTTTGAATTAAAAAGCTGGATAAGGAGCATGATTTCTTTTGTAAAGATAGGTCAAGAAAGATGGAAATGGACCCGTTAATTAGTACCTTGAGTTATATCAGAGGTAGCTTGTTTGTCCTATACCTCTAAACTGAAGAGTAAAGTAAGTCGGTATATGAGCTTCTAATAATTGGGAGGATTCAGTATTATTTCTCTTATCTAATGGAGCAGATAAGTGTGATCAAAATGCTTTGCTATTGAATGTGGGTGTCTTTAGTCTGATAAGCTCAACATTATTTCAAACTTTGGATGATCGATGTCATCTTATTTCAAAATTTGGTTGGTATAAGTGCAGGGTTAAACTAGTGTGCCAAACTTTGTGTGCAATCATTCCATCTTTGATATTCTCATGTACACTTTTATATTTCAGAATCTCTTTTTTCTTAAAGCTTTATATTCGATAGGGACCATACACTACTGGCCCTGACAGCGATTAGAACATATTGCTTAGTAGACTCAAGCATATGCTAATAATGCGCCTGTTCTACGATTTTTTTTATACTACGGTGTATATATAAGTTAAACTCTTTGGGTTAGATATTCTAATGAGTAAGGACTTGATAACGTGGTCAGAAGGTTTTAATTTATTTTGCGGCACTTCTTTTCAGGAAATTCTCTTTACAGATTCTTCGGATGAAAATACAAGACGTCAAGTATATTCAAATTAATTCTGGAATAAAGAATAAAGTTCTCTTTGATTTGCTCTGACGGAGTTGCAATGATTTTGAATTTGATGGCTCCTTCTTGCGTCCAAATCACCTTTTCAATGCCAGCAATCATAAATGTCCAATTCTCAAAAACGAATACGGAATTTAAATTTGATGAGTTTAACCTGAATTTTCTTCAGCATTTAAACTTGATAGTTCGTCCTTTTAGTTCTTTGAAAAAAAAAAATACACATTTGAAATACGGATTAGAGTTGAATTTTGAGTCACCAAGGAAGCAAAAAGTGGAAGCTGCTGACGGGATGGGTAACACAGAGAAAAAAAAGGTCCCCTTGGCTATGTTATACCTGCACTAACGAGGTAATAAATAATTGGACATGTTACTTTATTATAAACTGTTGTCAGCCTATCCCTACGCCTAATTCTCTTCACTTTTTACCCCACATCTTCAAATAACCTTTCCCTTTTGTTGCTTTTGGACATAACCACCTTTAACTTTTTCATGCTATATATTAATCTTATGGCAAATAAAAATCCTCCATTTAAGAGCATCCCAACAACAGAATTACATTTATACTGTTTGTAGTTTCTGTCTACATAGTACCAAAGGAAAATTTGGTGTTGGTGTGTTCCTCTGATCCACAAATGTGCATTGAAGATCAAACACAGGAGAATTTGAGATAGTAATACTGGAGTTATGGGTGGTGATGGTGCTCGCCGCAGCAGCAGTTTATTGATGGCTCTTCTTTTACTTAGTTTTCTATGTTTTGTTTCTGCTGAGATTTTAGTAAAGCCTGCAGCCAAAACAGTTACTGGAACGACAATCAATCAACATTTAGAGGCTGAGAGGATAATAGAAACAGAAAGGCATTCTCTTCAAAGGACCAATCTCAATTATGTCAGCAAAAGAAGAGTACCTAGTGAACCTGATCCAATACACAACAGGTATTTTCAATGCTTTAACATTCCACCCTGCAACATTCATAAGTAAGAAAAGCATACTTCTATGCTTACCCAACCATATCTATTTGCTTTCGGAAAGGGTCAAAAGTACTCATCTACTGTAACAAAATATAACATGAGATAATCTAAAACCTTACTAAAAAATGGATAGGTAAAACTGAACTTCTTTACCAAGATATTCTAATACGTAGAATCCATATAGTCCCCCAGCTGGAGCTTTGTTAAAGACAAGGACAGATATGAGATAACTTGCTAACAGACCTTTTCCCTTCATTTACTATTAGACTACAAGTTATTGTTTTGAAATATTACAAAATGACTTTTCAGGGAAGCAGGAGAGCACATGGAAACACGCATCCGAGCTTGAGCTTGAGGGAAAAAGTAAGAGGTTTGATAACTACTATTGCAAAGAGTTTCAACTGTCAACAAGAATTATTTTTTTTCCTACTTGGAAACTTTAATTGTGCATTATGTTTCTAAGATTGTAAAGAAGCAGATTAGAATCAAGTGAATGAAAATTTCAGCTGCCAAATCAAATTCAAGAGGGCACATAACTTTTAGAAAGCCCATTCAACTTCCATTTTAGTGAAAATTATTCCCATTCAGACACAAATTTTGCAAAAGGACCTACAATTACTGATCAACATCATCCAAAATTAATCAGAAGGGGTAAATACTAATAACTCTGCTTGATAGCATTCCGGTTAGATGAATTAATATCTGTGTGGAGGCAGATATTCTACCGAACCAATCTATCAGGGAAATCTAATGTGATTTGATCTTACAAACCATAAATGACTGTAAGGGACATACTGAATATATCTCGACCCTAAAAAGGCCAATGCCCAGGTCAGTTATAAACAGCTAAATTAGTGGTATTACAGCTTTCAAATAAACTGTCACAGCTTTTGCTTACTGCCTTGTTTAATGCATAAGTATGAGCAAAGAGAAACATAAACCTAAGATACCAATAATATTAGCTATCTGTAACATAAATTTCGAGCAGAACACCTCAGAATGATTTGACACTTCACAGTACAATACAGCAATATCTGTGGTAGTACTTCACAGAACCATATGTATCGTGCCTGATTCCACTTGCACCTAAGAGAAGTGAAGAACGTACCATAATGCATTTGTGTTCACCAGATGTGAAACATCTCGTAATGCTTTCCCATTCATGTATCAAATGGGACTGCTGGTCTCTTGTTTGTTAAATAGTAAGGGAAATTCATCATAATGTTCAGAGAAACCATGTTTCTCAGCCATGCTCTTCAGTACTTCATATACCTGATACATAGACCACCTCTCCTTGGGCCGAGAAATTAAACAATTGCAAGCAATTTTGAGGAATTTTACAATCTCTTCATCATGGCCCTTTCTACAAATATGCTTATCAATTGCATCTTTTATCCGACCAGAAACAGAGAGCTGATTTACCCAGTCCACCAAATTTCCCTTAAAACCTTCATCAGCAGCAGTGATTTCTAGAGGTCTTTGCCCAGTAGCCAACTCCAAAAGCACAACCCCAAAGCTGTAAGCATCCCCTTTCAGTGAAGCCACCATTGTGCTTGAGTACTCCGGAGCAACATAGCCAAATTCACCCAACTCCCCATTCACAAAACTAGTCTCTTTTGCATCTGGAGGTGTCACCAGCCTTGCCAACCCAAAATCCATTATTCTAGCATCAAAATCCTCATCAAGGAAAATAACGTTAGAACATATGTTTTGGTGCAATATTGGTGGTTGACAACCATGATGAAGCCAAGCAAGGCCCCTTGCAGCACCCAAGCCAATCCTAAACCTAGTAGGCCAATCCAACACACTTGCGCTCCCTTTCAATAATGAATACAAAGTACCATTTGACAGGTGCTTATAAACCAAAAGTTTTTCCTCCTCAACAACACAAAAGCCCAAAAGTGGTACCAAATTAGGATGCCTAACTTGTCCTAGTCCATTCATCTCCATTCGAAACAACTTCTCACTCAGCTTGCAAGCTTTAAGCCGTTTAATAGCAAGCGTAGAACCATCACGTAGAACAGCTCTAAATGTAGTCCCCGTCCTAGTCGAGTTTATCACACTCGACGTACTAAAATTGTTCGTGGCAGCCAACAAATCCGCCAACTTAACCTTCACAAGCGGTTTCTTAAACAATGTAACCTGAGTAAGCCTATGAGCCTTCAACTTATCCGCCCACCTTTCCGAGTCAACTCTCCCTAATCCATACCCCATCTTCCTCCTTTTCCCCGCCTTCGTAAAATACCAATACCAAGCCCCAAAACCCAACAATAGAGAAGCAGCAGCACCAAACACACCGGCAGCAATAATAATAGCTAAACTTTTCTTACTAAGCCTCCCACATTTCCCCAACGGACCACCACAAAGCCCATCATTTCCTCCAAAATCAAACGACTCAGCCGAATCAAAAGCTTCCGGAATCCTACCAGAAAGATCATTGTTTGCCACAGAAAATATTTTAAGCCTCCCCAAACTAGAAAACTGAGGTGGTATATTCCCAGAAAGCCTATTATCATTAAGCATCAATTTATTCAAATAGGAACAACTAACAAGATCAGACGGAATAGAACCGGTAAATTCATTGTTCGACAAATCAAGGGTTACCAAGTAAGGTAGCCAAGTACAAATATCAGAAGGAATTGAACCAGAAATCCGATTACCAGAAAGATCAAGATATTGCAAGCTTCGACAATACTTTAACGAATCTGGAACATTACCTCCAAGATTCATATCCCGAAGTTCAAGATTTATGAGACGATTTTCACGGTCATTCCAGCAAGAAGCACCAACAAATTTACATATAAACCCCACTGTAGAATTAGCAAAATTCCATGAATTCAAGTTCCCTTTTGGATCTGTCAAGGAGTTCTTGACTCCTTTTAAACACTTTATATCATCTTCAGCTACAGCACCAGCAACAGCAGTACAATGAAGAAGGGGTTGAAATACAAGAATCAACAAGATGAATACTATAAGGGGAAGATTGAAAAATCTGAAAAGTTTCATCTTTGAGCTTTAGGGAGTAAGGATGCATAGAAGGTGTTTGATGAATTGTTTACATGAGAAATATAAGTGTGTGAAAAAAGCAAAAGAATATAAGATGACATTTGACTTTGAATGATGAAGTGGAACCTTGGAATTATGGATTTAGAGAATTTGTAAAGTTTAACTTATTGTTAGTCCTGTTAATGGAGTGGACTCCCTGAGTAAGCACCTAAAATATCTTATTTTTGTTGCTCCATCGATTTTAATTTATTTGACTGATTTTTGAGTTTGAAGAAGGTTTAAAAAATTAATTGAGGATCCATTTGGCCTTAAATATACTTGGGGAAACTTACAAAATGATGTTTGGCAATATAATTTGCCTTTTTTGACAAATATATTTGTTAAATATCTCAAGTTTTTAAATACTACAAAAAAAAATAGTATTTGAGCCAAATTTTGATTTTTGGAAATTTTTAAAAAATTTAAAACTATCCCAATTTTTTATATTTTATATAAAAAAAAACATTCATTGTTTCTTAATTCTAACTAATATTTATCTAGTACATTAATAACTAATAATTATTCCTCTATGCTATCTATACATAACGGTGCCAAAAAGAACAATTTGTTTTTTAATGAGTTTATAATTCATCTTGAATCAGTGACAAGTTTGAGTTTGTAATTAATATATTGCTTTTGTCCATATTTGTTATTTTCTTGTTCTTGATTGTTATCAATTATGTTATAAGGTTATTTCTTAACGAAACATTTCATTATAAATGACAATACAACCTTAAAGGTATTTTAAATAATTTTTAGAACTTATGAGTATAAATCATATTTTATGAAATAGTCAAATATTTCTCCCAAAATTTATGGTCAAACGCATGGTAAAACTTCACCCAAAATAATGCCGAGAATATATAGAAATTTGGGGTCAAACGCTAACCGAATATTTTGAATCTTATAATTTAAAATTAAAGATAGGTAATATGTTTTAAAATATTTTATGATTTTATGATTTCAATATGTTATACTATGAAAAAAGAAAAATTTAAAATTATCCAAAAAAAAATCAAAAACAACATAAACAAATGAAAACGGCAGAAGTTTTTGGTGTTGGGAATGAAATTTTAGTATGGAAGTATTGATAATTTGATTTGGAATTTTAAGTTAGTGGGTAAAATTCACTAACTGTATTGTACGTTTTCCCTTATAATGCATTTGATTATAAATAATATTTCATTATTTGCAAAATACCATTTGTTTTGTTTGTGTCTAATTATTTATGTTTGGCTCGGTAAACTCGTTAAGAAAAATATAAAATGATTTAAAAAATTATATGTTATTTAAATATTAAAAAATGAATAGTACTTAAAATTAACGGTAAAACAGGTATAATGATAAATTATTTCTTGATTTTAAAATTAAAAAGTAAAATGTATATCTATTTTTAATGTAGTGAGCGAATAAAAACGAAAGAAGAAAGTAGTAATTTAATCATCAGTATTTGAAATGCTGGTGTATATAAATATTTTAAATTGATTATGGTTTCACTCAATATCTTCAGTTTTTCACCCTGACCTTGAGCCTAGATAAATTTTACGTCTAGGCACAATTATACCATATACTTCAGTTCGACTTTAATTTCAATACTTTTTTTTTCAACCTTAATTGAATATTATCCAACGCTTATTAAATTTCTGTATATTGATGCAAATATTATACTATATTTTTTGTTATTTGACATTCGATATTCACATTAAAACTCAATTAAAAAAAAGATACACACTGTTTTTTTTTCTGCCAAATTCTCTTTTTCTCATACAAAGAATTTAAGCGGAAGATGCATGTGAAGAATAAAATTATCTTTATTAAAACATTTGAAACAATCTTTTGTAATGTATATATTCGTTGACCGTGAATTAATATGATATGGTTAGTCTTTGTATATAATTATATTATCTGAGTAATAAAACAAATTCAATAATCGTGTAAACTATGTGTTTGATTCAATCCTTCCGCCTTAGGAACTCATCGAAAGCAACAGTACCTTTGGTCAAAATTTTATAATTTTTCTGTTAGGTCATAGTCATATCACATTTGATTGCCTAGAAAAGAATTGGCAAAAACTGAACTCTAAGTAATTAAAGTTATTAATTATTAATTTATATATTATTATAAAATCAAATTATTGAATATTTTTGTAATTTTACCTTACACTACGTTAGTGCGTTTTCATGTAGTAATCAAGAAAAGTTCCCTCTCAACAAATTCTGATATTTGACCAGATCCCACCGCTATTTTTTTTATCTAATGTTTATGTTATTTTTTGTCAATAAAAATTACTAATTGGGTGGTGCACTAACAAGTAATGATAATAATAATCCATTACTTTGGCCTTTACTATTTGTAAAAAACAAAAACAAAACAGTAGAATATAAATCTTACCTAACTACATTTAGATTCAGTGCTAGCTCCTGTTACACCACTTATTTGGTTAATCCCCCCACAAACTGAAAATTTTAACACAACTCCATGTCTTGTTCTATTAATTTGTGTAGTGGGAGTGATGATGGGAATTACTCTATCATTAATTAGAATTTTCTTAGTGAACGTTTAACTTTTCACTACGTTTATTTGATACGAATTCAAAATCAGTAAACTTTAAATATCAAATGATTAAATCGAAGAAAAATGACTAGTTAATTTATTTATTTTTAACTTGGATCAAATTTATTTATAATTTATTAGTATTTTTACTGTGACGGTGAGTGGCGCCTTTTAGAATTGGACATGAGTGTAATGGTAAATGGAAAGCATCGTTTATTTTTTACCATATAAATATGAAAAAGCAATATCACTTGCAAATGCACTTTATTTTTTACCAAATAAAAAAGAATAGTTTAGTTGGTAAAAGAATGATCAACAATATGATTACTTTGATTTTTAAGTTTTGGTTTTTTGACATTTGCAAAGAAAGTGCCCCATATTAATGTTTTGGCAGAATATGCTTGCTTGTTTTAGACTTTAGAGTAGCACTTTCAAAATCTTAAAGTTTAAGCACACTTTGATGTTTTGTCGTTTTTAATTAGAAATTTTGAGTTCACGAATTTTTAAAATGGAGATTTTTTTGTGAAGGAGCATTTCTTCTTAAATTAATCATATATATGCAGATCTAAAAAAATTCGATAAGTAAATTTAGGATACTGAATAATTTCAAAAAGATAGAAATCAAAAAACTTGATGTGTACGTATATTAATTGTCTCCCAACTATATAGAAGACTATTGTTTAAATACACTCTCTTTGTTAGAAGTGGGTAACAATAATCCTTTGCTTATACCAAATGTAGCATATTACTTTTTTGTGTGTCTAGTTATTCTCTAACAAAGCTCAATTAATAATTTAGAATGACACTATGAACATATGTACAAGCAAACAACTCAACCGATAGGTGAATCGTCAAAGTTTGATTCTCCTAAGTTATATGTTTTTGTTATGAACTCATTTAGGGAGATATAAATTACGTTTGGGGCCCCGAAGGAGACTAGGAGGTTGGAGTTAAATAACGCGTCGGTTGAGGCTATTTGGAGTAATATGTCTTATGAAAGATAATATAGATTAATTATATTATCAATTGAAAAAAGATAATAGAAGAAATTCATTATATAAAAGTTATATTAACAATGTTTTAAAGTTTAAAATCTTTGTTTGATTTTGACTTTAGACCACTAATGTGCTTGAGCCGCCCCTGATTCTAATGTTTGCTATTTTAATGGTTTATTCTTTAAGTTAATGAATTACATCAATCACTTCCGTTATTTACTTTGTGTTGTGATATTGGATTAATCATTCAAGTTTTCTCTTATTTTTTATTTCTTATTTGCTTATTTAAAAACACTACGAAAGTTTGTGCACCAAATGTATTTTTTGCAAAACAAGGTTACAAATTTAGTAGTACAACAATGAATAAATCTTTTGTAAATCTACAGTACTATCACAATGAAGTAAAATAAGCATTCAAAGTGTTCAATTTCCACAGCAAATTCTGACCCATTTAGCAGCTAGGCAATACTCGAATTCATTTTCATGTTAGGCAGAGGCTGATGCATATAAAGACTCTATTTGTCCCACATCGAAGAGAACTAAGGTGTAGACAACGAGAAATGTTATAAAAAACAATCCCCTTCTACATGCAAAATCATACCTTTCTCGGCCTTTTGGCTAAGATCAAGTGTAGTATCTGTTTTTATCAATTTAATATCTGATATGTGGATCATCGATCTACATGATATTAACTCAATTTATAAAGGGGTAGAGTCCATCAAGGTAGCTTGCTACCTGGGCTCTTGAGCGTCGCCTAGGCTTTGCACTACAGCCCAAGCCTGGCGCACCCCACCAAATCTAGTCCAAAATTCTTCAGTCTGGGCCCATATTAACACTGAAATTGTCGTTCTATTGCTGGTTACAGATGTTTTTAATTTTTGGCCCATTTGTATGGAACTTGTAATTATTGTTTGTATTTGAACCTACGTACATACTCATTCGTATTTGAACCTACATACATACTCATTCGTTTTAAATCTCTTGAAAAAATTGGAAACAAACTGCTTGCTCCTAATGACTAGTCTTTCTATAATTTTTGACAATTTGTTAGTTAGTTCTTTTTCTTGGCCTTTTATGTTCTCTATGTGGTTCAGCAGATATATGTACTTCGATGATAGGATATGGTGTTATACTAGAAAAATCTTCTTATTGAAGGGTTGCAAATTGCTAAGTAAAATTGGTATATTCAATTTCTTAATAACCATTTCAGAGTTCAGATCATTCTACTAGTAGGATGAATTGGTTGTTAAATTTGCTTAGAATGTTAATTGCTCAATAGTTCAATGTGAATGTGGAAAATGAAGTTAAGATTTTTAACTTTAAGAGTTTTAAATATTTAGATAACAACTATAATTGAGTTCAATTCAAATTAAGTTGAGTTGTTGATGACAATGTTATAAATCTGTATAACTTACATAAATTTCATAGTGTGAGTAGTAAATTACATCATATCCCTACTTTTTTTTCTAATTACAAGAATTCCTTAATTTTTACACAATCTGGATACATTAACGCTAATACATTATGTATCAAGTTGTTAAGCTAAAACAAAGGAAGAAGCGGAAAATCCAATCAAAACCCAATAAATTACGGTTACACGTCTTTTCTTACTATCAAACAGTCAGATACAAATCCTAACAGAACCAACAAATTTAAAATTTAAATTTCTTTTCCCTATTCATCGTTCTCCATGTTCATCGAAGAACCATTCAAATTTGCCGAAAATTTAATAAGATACATAATGAATAGTTGTTGGGCAAACAATTTCTTTTGTGAATCTCAAATCCACCATTGCAAGAGATCGATGAGATGAGGAAAAACTTGAAAATCTGATTCATAGTAGAAGGAAATCACAGGAAAATGTTATTGACAATGTGATTCAATCCCTAACAAGTTGTAACAGGCTAGCACAATTCAAAATTCAAAAGCCTTCTTCCCATTCTTCCAAAAAACTCTCAATTTTCGAATCAAATTGTCGACAAAATTGTAATGATACAACATGAACTTGTTGTTGTGACATTTCAGAATTTGGGAAAGTGAGGTAAGGTATGAACTATACAAAAGTGATGGAATTGTTGTTGGTCAAACTATTAGTTCGGTGAATCTCAAATTAGCCATAGTAGCTGAATTAGAGATCAATGAATTGAGGAAAAAAATTGGAGATCCGATACATCGTTGAGGTGAAGAAACAAGAGCCTGGATTTTCAATGTTTCCGCTATACATTAATACAATAGACAAAAGGCTGAAGAGATACATAACTTTGATGGATCATTCATCATTTTTATAATGCTATGTAATCATTTTTTGAATTATGTTTTCAAGATGGATAGATTTATCAATACATTACTATTTATGTATCTTGTTAAATTGATAAGTGTTATATTTCTATTAGATACATTAAATAGTAATTGTTGCCCATAAGATATTATGTTTGAGATCGATACATTACTGTGTGGTAATTGCTATGCATCACATACATTTAGTATACATTTTGAATTTCGTATCATGCCTAAAAAATTAGTGCATGATACATTGCTATTTATGCATCTTATTTTGTTTGAAAATACTGTATTGTATAAAAAAAATACATTTTACATGTAATTGTTTCAAATAACATTTTTTGTGTGTGATACATAACACAATGGTGATCAGTTGATATGTATATTACATGCAATAAAGTTTGAAACTATTGAATTTGATATATATTATGTATCATTTACACATCAATTAATGATACACGGTGTTTTCGCTATAAAACATTAGAGTTTATGTATCAAGTGTATTTATTGGGTAATGTGCACATATACATAACCTTCTAGTTGAATAAGCTTTGGTATATGTATCAAGTAGTAAAAGATTGTCACTGATATGTATAACATACATATTGTTGGATCTGATACACTGTGCTCCAGTTATAGAATATTATGATTTATGTGTTAAGATTGAAGATACATTATATAATTTGATACATGTAAATGATACACTGGGTAGTGATTATGTATCAAATACATTTATACTGAACATGCTAAACACTAATCGAAGATACAACAACATTAGAGTTATGTATCAATACCTTAAATATGAACATGATTCATTGCATAAAACAAATGCTATTGTAGAAGTGATGTATCAGATCGGTGATAACACTACAAACACTAATTTAAGAATAAAAATAAACAAGATATATTGAAAATCTGTATTTTTGATAGTGATGGCCGTATAATGGCAAATCTAACTTTCCCCCCCTTTTTTGGAGCGTTTTTTCAACAGTAGATTTAGAACTCAAACATGTATCCTTCTTCGATTTCTCCGCTCTCAAATTCTTCATGATTAATGGATTGTTTCGTTGTTTCGATCTACTTTCATAAAAATTTTCATCCTCAAAATCAAATTGGGTAAGCCCAATATTAAAAGAGGGAGCAGAATCCATATGCATTAGAAAATTGTAGATGAAAAAACATTTTTTTTTTAAAAAAACGATAATTAAAGAACTGTAAAGAAAAAATTGATGAAGAAAAAACTCTATCTCTTTAGGAATTTGAAATCGATGAACTGAAGAGAGAATATATATAGATTTGAAATTCAAAAATAGAGTGATGATGTAACTGCTAATACATGAGAGTAATTTTAGGGGTGAAAATAACAACAAAAATCGTTGGGTTAGAAGAGTTGTGAGTGATGTATAGTAAAAGGAGAGGAGAATAGGAAAACATGAATTTTTGTAATATTTTCAAATGGTATAGAGAATATGAAAAGAAAAGTTTTGTAGTTAGGTAATTTTTTCTATAAATTTGGCACGCTACCGTTATTTTTTCGAGCGAACTTTTAGAATTTTTAGTTTATATTCCGTCTCATTTTTTGTATAACCTTTTGTTTTTAGTTCATCTAAAAAAGTAATGTCACCTTATTATAGTTAGAAACAATTTAGTATTAAAATTCAATTATTTTTAATGATCACAATTCACACAAATATTTAAGGATTGTTTTAGATCGTAATTTTTTTTAAAAAAACAATCATGTCAAATTAATTAATGACACATAAAATGAAACAAACAGAGTAATATATAGCAATATTAATGCTACTTTTTGATTCAAAAATTCACTTATGTGATTGTTTTTAGTGTTGATAAAGAAAGATTGTGTAATCATATAGTGTTATTATACTTCTCAAGTCGGTCAAAATCTTTCTCTGTTTATGGGTATTTTTTTTTTAATAAAGGAATTCACCTTTATTATTCTTCGAGTAGAAATCAGGTAAATTTTGCTTTGATATAAATTATTCATGAAAGATAAATTTATGTGCAATAAGTTAATCGAGCAAAATGTTACGCTATTTGGTAAACAATATCAAATCTTAAAAACAACACCATACCAAATTTGTTTTAGGCCTTATTTATTTTTAATAAAATTAAGACGTCTGAATCTAAATAAGTATTTGAATACTAAAATATGCATTAAAATCTAAATGTCTAAATCTAAATACACATTTCAATTTGAATTTTTCCAAATAATTTGTCTAGAATGTCATAAAGTGGGAGTTGAATTTGGTCAAAGAATTCGACCTCACCGTTTAAGTGTCTTTCAAAATTTTCATTAAATATATACTTATCCAAAGTAGTGTATACTTATCCTGGTAAAATGTCAGTCGATATTTTAATTAATTACTAGTGTGGCATAATTAATTATAGCTCCAGGCAGCTCCACCTCAAAAATTGTGATGAGTATATACAAACTTATTATATTTATTATGCATACATAAATTGCTTATCTTATACTAGTCTTTAAGAAATTTAATATAAGAATTCATGTAATAACACATTAATTCTCCCACTAAATAATATTAATATTATTTGATACCGCCAATAAGATGTTATTCGATTATTTGTGCAGCTAACCAAATACTCTTTTATCTTAAAAATGGATTTCTATGATATATATATATATATATAGTCCAACGTATAGTAATCCTAGTAAGCGTGATAAAATAAATTCAAATTGTATTTTTTTTGTTTTCTCAACGGGTGTTCGGTATCCATATTGGAGTTCGACTAAATTTAGATTCGCATCGGGAAGTCCCATAATGTGGGGTTAAATTTTGATTGAATCTGGATTCATGTCGGAAAGTCTCAAATTAGGGGTAAAGTGCTCCATAACAAAGACGACTCTATACCTCAAGGGACTCGAATCCAAGACCTCTGGTTAAGAATGAAGAAATATTTACCACTCTACCACGACCCTTGGTAAATCAATTCGCATTTATGCAAGCACTTTAGGTAGGCCTAATATGTCCTTCATCCCTTTTCTCATAATCCAGATGTGCAAATTTAGAGTCACAAACCTGCAATATAGAAGTAAATATCGAAATTTTGTGGGACTTTACAAGACGAGTCAAATCTCTATTTATACAAACTGAAACTTTTCGTCATTACGTAACCATAAACCTATCAATCAATCAAGTTGATTTAAGTTGAACATTGAAAAATATTTGGGCTTATCCATAACCTAAAAACCAACTTGAGCCCAAATGCAAGAACACATTTAAAGCCCAAAATATAGGGCAAGAAATTTGAAAAAACCGAAGCCCTTTTGCTAAATCAAATTAATTTTGAAAAAAAAAATAATCGTGTTATTAGTGGAGTAAATAAAAAACTGGGTCACGTTACAAAGATAATACTATAGTTAATACTCATTTTATTTTTTCTCTAATGTTAATTAATACATTTTCACTACCCTCTTTGTTTCTCAAAATTGTTTTTGTGTTCTTCTCCTCCGACGTTAGAGAGAGAAAGGAG